CATTCCCTCCATTCAAAAGACCAGCAACTCCAAGGCTAGAATGAAATCTCCTAGTCCTAATTTTAAATTCCTGAGGGTTTCCTTTGGCTAAGGGTTGACAGGAGCTGAGGTCCAGAACCCTTCTCTGCAAAGCAGATGGGTAGACGATCCACTGGGGTCTCCCATAGGAACTGACGGGGCGGGAGCGTGCATGACCTAACTGGCTTCCTCACAGACAGTTTTTCCTCAACTCCTTTCTTCTCCGCAGGTTCCTCTTTGAGAGCAGAATCTGATGATGTCGGTTTTGTAAGAGCTCCTCTGGTAGTTCTTATGCATTCTGCAGATTGGTAGACGTTATTCCAGAATATAGTCCTAAAATGACCATGAAAAAGTGTGATTTCAATCTAAGCATTTTAAACAAGCAGTCTGCCTGGGGAGATTGTTAAAGCATTTGCTTTTCTCACAGTCTTGAACTAACTTCCCTCTCCATCGGGGCTGTATTCTGTATCTGGCTTGTGGTTCTGTGAGATCAGCAGCACAGGCGAGGGGAGTCATGGAAGGTTCCGGAGGCCAGGTCGCCTGGCTTCTGGCTCCTGAAGGACTTGCAGATGACAGTAAGAAAGCATCCCTTGTGTGCAAGTGGTTGAATTCTGTATTTCTATTGCTTATAGATTTTCATTGTGTAATTTTAAAAACCTAATCTCACTTGGAGTTAGAGCAGTTTATTATTGAAGGTATGTCCATCAATGGCTGTAAAATCAGGAAAAAGTTGTTTAATAGCTATGTTCAGGGGGTTCTGTTAGCAGGGTAAAAATGAGTCCAGACTTCTCACAGACCACTCCCCCCAGCCTTTTAGACACTCCAGTAAACAAACAGGAACACTTAATATTTCATTAGAAGCAGAAAGGGGGGAAAGCACCTCATTTAAAGCACCTACTATGACAGGATCAGTGAGACAGGAGTTAGGAATCTGGTGGGCAGTGAGGACAGCAGCTCCAAAATGGAGTCCGGAAGCCCCAAATGGAGTCTGCTCAGTCACACCCTCCAGGGGTCTTACAAGGTTTCCACCACTAGGTGTCCTTCGGCTGTCTGAACCTCCTCAGAGGACGGTGTGGCAGGCCATTGGTACAAGGGCACACGGGCCCTGCATGAACTGGACCCTAAAACTGCACAGACTGAAACTAGAAAAGTAGGTAGCCTCCTACAGGGAAGAGAATATATTGCTGACAAAACACAGAACTCCCTTCTCGGCTCCTTCCAAAGCCCTGGACAAAGGGCCCTCATGGGCATCCTGCTCAGAACCCCTCCTGGCTAGCAGGAGCTCTACTTCTTTGCCTATATAGCTTTTAAATAAATTTGCCTGCTGCCTACCTCCCCTATCTATGGTTTCATACTTTGTCGCCACGGGCCACAAGCCTAGCATTCCAGTAACACTACCATCTGTCAGACACTGTACCAGGGCATATTATATGCATTATTATTTTACTAAATCCTTATAACCCTATGAGATAGTTATTATTTTAAATTCAGCAAGGGACTGAAGAGAGGGAGACCAGCATTGGTGGGTGTTGGGCCTGGGCCTTTCCCTTCACATCTCTTCCATGCACACAGGAGCTGGTCCTGCTGTGCCCTGTCTGCCGTCCTTCCAGGGCCAGCTCCAGTCTCATCTAGCTATGTAGCCCTCCCTGATAACCCTTAGAATTTTTCTTTGCTCCAATGTTCAAAAGTATAAGATGTTATAATTTTAAAATACATCTCTGAAATTGGGATACATGTGACTATGAGTAGTAGAGAACTATTTGGCAGGTTGTTGCTTTCTCTTTCCCTGCCTCCTCTCTCCCTTCTTTCTTTTCTTCCTTCCTTCTCCTCTCCCTCCCTCCCTCCTTCCTTCCTAATGGTACATCAAACTAAGGTACATTTTCAAATTGATGACATCTAAGGTTTACGCTGCTTAACATTCAGGGTTCTGCAGATGCCCTCTTCCGAAGGTTGCACAGCTCTGTAGTTAGTGCTCCTCCACCTGTCTCCACATGGCAGCTTTGGCCAAGGGACCACCAAGTGAAGTCACCTGTGTCATGTCCCCCAGTTCCAAGGCAGTTATGGGCTAGTGTATCCCACAGGTATGAAACACTCCCTTATTTCACTGGGTCCCTGTAATCCACGCACCTGGTCCTGCTAAGCTAAGACTCCTTGTTTTACACACAGGACACTTGGAGGAGTGGTCCTGGGATGCAGCTCTTCCTGTTCCTTTTTGTCTCTGTCCCTTTCATGACCTCTACCCTCTGCTAAGGGTCCACAGGCAACATCCTCTAGGCTTGCTGGGCTGGGCATGGAGGAGAAATAATCTTAGAGGAACGCCTTTGGTTTCTGGTTTCCAAGGGTTTGGTGAGACTGGAAGTGTGGCTGCGAACTTCCGGCCTGCTGTCCCTCCAAGCCAGAAGTACTGTGGCTGGGTTCCCAGGTTCCTGGGAAGCTCAGGACTGAGCGGTTCCCAAAACAAGAGGACTCGAGAGGGCCCCTGGGAGTTTCCTGCTTTTGAGGATGGAATTCTGAGCTCGATTTTTGTATTGTCCAAGGACAGTCCTGCTTGTGAAAATGCCTTACGGGGTCTCCTGAATCTGAAAAAAGTGAAGAGGAAGACTATTTGCTTTGATGTAATCAGATTCTCCAGAATTTAATCCTATATCCTATTTATGGCTGAGCTAGCCGTTCAAAATTAAAATGAACCTTTCATCCCTGTGTATCATAAATGGGCATTTATCAGGATTATACGATTTTGCAATCCATCTGAATACGTAACGGGAATTTGTTTGCCTTCCGTTTCACCATGTAATTACCATGCAACAATAACGAAAGTGACATGTTTGAAGAACAGATAAAACGCTGTAAATTGGCCAGTAATGGTGATATTTCCTCCTCTTCCGAAAAACCCATTTATTCTCTCTCAACAAATCAAGGCGTTGTCAGCCCCTCCTGTCTCGGCCGGAGAGGCTGCACCAGTTTCTGGCCCCCAGTGCGTCCGGAATGCAGATGAGTGGCCTGGGGAAGGAGCCCGCGCAGTGCAGCTGGTCCTTGCTCGCCTGGATTTCTAAATCATCCATAATGGGGCCAGGACCTCCCGCACTAAAAAGGGCGAGCTGACATGCTGGACAAACTGTTAATTTTTTCCTGAAGAAGCTGCTATGCCGCACATCTGTCAGGGCATCGCAGCCCATTACTCACAGAGCGGGAGCAGAAGGACCCGCGCTGGTTTCTGGCTGAGTTGTCAGGGATCGGACGGGGAAGCGCGGGCCTATGCAGCCCAGGACCGGCCAGGACCCGGGAAGGGAGCAGTCCAGGCCCGGCCCGCAGACCCCGACCCCGACCCCTGGGCTCACCGCAGGGCCAGGAGCCCCAGCCAGTGGAGCAGGCCTGCTGGGCTCCACATGCAGCTCTCACGCTGTGACTGTGTGCTTCTCATCCCCTAACATGATTTCACCAATTCCCTTCTTCCTCAAGACCACGTGGACCACTGGTATTGCTTCCCCAAGGATTGCAGCCTCCCACGAGGGACTTCAGAATCCCGGGTTGGCCACACAGCCATCAAGCACGGACTTAACTTTGTCCTTCCTTTCTGTTGGCTAAACTCGTTTGCTTGTCCTGATTGTGGAATTTTGGCATATGAAGAAATTCACTTCACTAAGGGGGTTTGAAGAATCTGTTTACTCTTGGAAAGCAGAGGCAGGTTAGGTCGCTGTTTCCCTGTCCCCATTTATTAAATAATGGTGCTTTCTGGAAGAAATCCAGTTTTTAGATATTTAGCAGGAAGATGCAAACAAGATAGTTTAGATCTGTTTCCTTTGGGATACTATTCTAACAGTCTCGTCTCTACCATCTTATAGTTGAAAGCCAAGCATTACATGCACTTAAAATGCTAGTGATTTATTTTGAAAGCTTGAGCTAGGGAAAATAAAAACAATAACATAACACAAAAATAGCTTTCGACTGTTAATGTAATTTCACCCTTCAAAAATTAAGGAGTAGACACAGGACATCTTGTAATGGTCACAGGAGTTAGGTTTGTGGGTCTGAGAATGATTTAGACTGTCTGACAGTTCAGACAGAGACAACTCTAATGTCCAGATAAAACTCAGCTGGCACTAGCAGATCATACTCCTGGCAGCTAATGGCACTGATTCGCTAGAGACAAATCTGGATCTACTTAAAATGTCAGAAGCGTAAAGTAATGAAGTCTTTGCTTAGGAGGAGCCCGGCAGAAGGAGCCTTCATGGTCCACTTGTCAGGTGAGTACGTATCACTGCCAGTCTGCTAAATAAATGAGCATTTAGTACCTGTTGGAATAAAAAAATAAACACTTTAACGCTACTCCCTTTTTCAGGAGAAAAGATAAATTCGATCAACTCAAATAGGGAAGTGCCTTTTACAGCAAACAAAACTCAAAGAAAATGGAACACTGATGAGTCTTGTAAAATACTGTAAGTATCCAAGCAGGTTTACAGCAGGGACCACTTTCCAGAAGGAAATGGAGTGACCGTAGCCCGTGGGGCCAGGTGCTGCCGCCTGCTTCACAACCACAAGGTCTCGAGTTCGATCCCTGGTACGGGAAAACAACAACAACAACAACAACAAACCAAAAAAACACTTGTGGGAAGTGGACCGGAGATGGCCAGCCAGATCCTGAGTCAGGGACAGCAAAAAGGACACAAAAGTATTGCAGAACAGGCCACAACCAGCTACGAACACATCTGTCATTCAAATATTTTTATCAGTTTTTTCCCTAAATTTTTTTCTCGATACTGAAATTGTCCAGTGGTTAAATTAGAACTAATTTAACTGCACTATTAAATGTTAATTGTCAATGAGTAATAATTTAAAAACAATTTAAGGGAAATTTCAACTTCATTTTCATTTTGTTAAGGTTGAAAGGAATACATTTAAAACAGAAACACAATGACTGCTTATAAATAACATTCTGAAACATTGTTTTATTTTTTTATTATACCATTAATATAATTTTCCACCAAAAAACTAAAAATAATCCAAAATATTATTTTCTAACAACTTCATTTTACAATTTAGATCGCCTTTCTTTTTAAAAGACAAAAAAAGATGAAAACAGTTTTAAAATGTGTATCAACAGGGATTTTTCTTTCATGAAATATCTGCCCAAGAGGAAATGTGCTAAAGAGAGTTTTTAGTTAATTAAGAGAAAACCAATTAATAATGTTGAGATGAACACATTAATAAAACCAGTATTTTGCAATCATGTCTGTAAACTGCATATATGTGTGCTATAAATACACTTATATGGACATATTAGCTGTAACCCTACTGTTTTCCTGAGACAGGGTCTCACAATGTAGTTCAGGCTGGCCTCAAACTCACTAAATAGCACAGGCCAGCCTCGAAGTCTTGGAGATCCTCCTGCCTCCGCCTTCCGAGTGCGGGAGTGCATCACAATGCCAGGCCAAAACCCTACTGTGTTAACTCCTGTCTGCTAACCATAACATGAATTATGAAATCTATGTCTTCAAATGCTAAGACCAATGAACTGGTAAATTTTAGTAATGAATTTTCTTTTAAAGAGGTGTCAGATCATTTAAAAATAAAAACAAATCTGGAGGGTATGTAGCCTTCAAAATGGTACTGAGAATAAAGAGAGGAAGGAAATGACTGCAGCACGTAGTCTGGCCCATAGCAGGTAAGACAAACATAAAGAAAAAAGTCCAGTTGTTAAGGAGGTCACGCCCGCCTCCCTGAACTACTGCGGGGATGGGTCATTGCGTAGGGAGGGGAGAGATCTATGCACGGAAAATAATTTGTAGCACAATGAATTAATCCGTAGGAGGTAAGATGGCTGCATGCGGGAGCAGGGAAAGACCTCGCCGCTTTCCAAGGAGATTTGAACGATGCTTTCTAAACTACGAACTGTTTTGGACGCTTTGGGTTCTAGGGACGTATTTATTGACAAAAATTAATATAACTACATACGCAGCACACGTTGCTGTGTTTTGTATTCTAGAAAGACACATAAACGTTTCCCAAGTGCCCATTTCTCCAGGGAAGCCAGTGTGCTCTCCTCGGGACTGGTCCCCAGGGCAGGCCCGAGGGTGGGGCAGCTGGGGTGGGCTCTGATGCTGATCCCGACAGGAGGTAGTTAAGTCTTCCATGAGCCGCACGGAGCGCTCTCGGTGCAGGTGCCGGATAAAGAACTCCCTCTGTTTCTAGCCAACAGGAAGGTGTGCTTCCGGGGAAGCTACGTGAACATCTTTCAGGAGTTGTTCCAGATTTGTGCCTGTGCGGAAAGTGACAAAAAGAAGCCCCCGTAAAGGCGGCTTATTTAACTGAGGACCCCTGGCCGCTCTGGTTCATGCAGTGTGCTCTACTGTGAGCGTTTTGCAACCATTAGGACACGGTCGATCGGGGGAAAAGCAACAGCCACGTCGTGGGCCCTGTCGCGGCCTGTTTACCAGTGGCTCAAAACCGGGCTGTCTGAAATGCTAGCACTTTGGAAGATCTTCAGGAAATGGAGTTAAACAAAACAAAACAAATTTTCAATAGATTTTTGAACACCGTACAGTATGACACATAAGTCTTAAAAGTCCGTACATAATCTCCACCATCATCCCCCTGCATAAATACCGTGAGCATTTAGAAAAAACAATTCAAAAATCTAGTTCTAGTGAGAAACGTTCAGAAAGCAATCAGCTAAGGTCAGTTTAGCTCCCACGAATGCTTCAAGGTGCAACTCAGGAGGTCCACAGTCCCTTACACATCCTTTTCTCTTACCACATGCCCCGAGGAAGAAAGACAATTCTTAAAAGAAATGTGCACATCCAGCAAATCAGCAAGTCTTTGAAATCACAGGGTGCCTCTTCCTTCCCCAGTTGGCAGGGAAGCATTTTTGGTTAGGGGACCACTGGACAAAGATGTGTTCTCTATTGTCTTTAAAAACTCTTTTTGGACAATTTACAAAAATAAAAAAAACCCAAACTACTAGAAAAGTGATTCATATAGGCTAATCTTGACCTTTACCCAACAAATGCAAGCCATTGTAAATAGAATAATACAGTAATTATTGGTTCTTAATGATGAAGATCATGAAGATCACTAACAAATCAACCCCGTCAAACTAAGAGTAATTTAGAATCTGACACTCTGAAGCACGTGATTGAGAAATAACTCAATATTGAGCATAAAATAAAAATAATTTGTTTTGCTTCGTTGTAAAGTAACAGCTTTGATTTAAAAAGGGCATTAGGTTTCTTTCACTTTCTCTTGTTCACCTTGTAAAGGGGTCAGGCCATTGCCAGAAATCTGAATTCTTGGGAGAGCCATTTAACCCTTCAAATAAATTGATTCAATAGTGTAATGATTTACTCCAGTGATTAAAATTTAAAATCAGTTTCTTACACTTGAGTTGATTTTAAAAAAATATCAGCCTTTGGGAAGAGAGAGGTAGATGTCAGGATGAATAGAATTTACAGTTCAGTCGTGGTGAATTTTAAAAATACATTTTCCTTTCAGTAATTACTTCACATGCTACATGAGGTAAAATTTATAAAATCTGCACTAAAGTAATGTTGAGGGCACTCTGGTGATAACAATGATGAGGTTTATTTTTGTCAAAATGTCCAAGGCAAATATTAATTACTCTTTGCTAACTGTGAACTTCATCCTACGTTGTCCAAAGACACAGAATTAGGCCAAATTCAAGGCGTATGAAGTCACCCAGCCTCTCAGAGTTTTGCTTAGGACTGGGAGGAGAGGATGACAGGAGACAAGATCCTACTTTGGAGACAAGCGGTGCTCATCGGTCCGGGCGTCACATGCGTACAGGATTGAGCAAAGCATCAGCAAGCATCGACATCTGAGATCAAAATAAGTAAAGGAAATCAACTGCTCTTTCTACCTAGAAATAGCTGGAAATTACTGAAAAAGAAATGATAGGGTACAGGTGTTCGCTTTAGCACCACGGACAGCGACAAGCTCCCGTTTCTGTCCCTGTCCCAGGACTGTGTATTGGGAAGCTAGGATGAGTTTGCGGCAATGGTGACTTCTGCTTTGAAATCAGAAAGTGTACAGTAATTCAGAACAAAGGGGCAGGTGAATAAAAATCATAACTCAGCTCTTCCTTGCTTTTCTTCTTAGGGGGATTTTCCTGAAGCAGGGGTAGGAGTTGCAGAAGTGCTTTTTGGAAGAGGAAATCCAAGTCCTAAACCTCTGGGCCTCTGCATGGCTTGGATTGGCTCTGCGATCCCCTTGCCATCTCGGCCGAGGCCCGACCCTGGGGTCCAGCCCATATTCTGCAGCATTCGGTTTCCAATGTTGTCTTCTAGGATGGGCTGGGCATTTTCACCAACAAATCCTGAAAGGAGAACATGAAAACATACATCAGTGGGGAGGGAGGCAAAGACCTTCAGCTATGAAAACTATGCTTTCCTAAGTGTTCTGTTGTCAACAAAGACCCAGGAAGGGCTACCCGTGCACTTTGGATTCACCTTCCGGGACTTACTGTAGTTGAGGTAACCATAGATGAACCGTTCATCTCGCTGACACTTTCAGTCCTACCTCTTAGCGGCAGGCCCAGTTATCCAATCTCCACAGGCTTCTGTTTTCTCACGCATAACACAGACACACCACAACGCAGACTGCCCATCTCACAGGATCAAGGGAGCTCATGCATGTCAAGAACATCCTTTAAACCATGACCTGCTTTACAAATGGGGTTATTTTCATTACCACATGAGCTTCATGGAGAACTCTGAAAATCACCAGCTTATAAATTTTAATACCTTACATTTGGCCAGGACCTTGACATTCAATAAAACCAAAACTAAAACCAAGCAGAAAGCACAGCTACAGGCATCCTGAATTCCTAGGAATTTACACTCTTAGTTTCTTCTTGTTATTTATTATTTAGTGCTCTGTATCTCTAATTCTCTTCCACTTTGTCTTCATGGATCCATGCATTAATGACTACGGAAGCAGGTAAGGAGGGAAAGATAGAGGAGAGAGATAATGAAGACATATACGAGGTGTGATTGAAAAATACATTGAATATATAAATAAAAATTATTATAGTAAAAGACATATTGGCATCAATCTCCCTTAAAATACTCCCTCATTTTGAACACACTTATCCTATCATTCCTGTCATGTTCTGAAGCAGTTCTGGAGTCCTCTTTCATCAGTGTCTTTAGTTGTGCTATCATGGCTGCCTTACTGTCCTGAATCAACTCCAGACATTTACCTTTCACGGTCACTTTCACTTGGAGAAGAGCCAGAAGTTGCATGGTTCCAGAGGTGGAGAACAAGGTGGATGAGGGCACACTGTAATGATTTAGGAGCTGCCTTTCCTTGGCAGCAGCATTCACTGTATATTTGATCAAACGTCATAAAGACACTCATGAAAGAGGACTTCCAGAACTGCTTCAGAACAGGGCAAGGATGATGGGTAAGTGTATTTGAAGTGAAAGGGAGCATTTTGAGGTGGATCTAGGGCAATGTGTCTTTTACTGTAATACATTTTTAAAAATTTAAACATTCACCATATATTTTGACCACACTACATATCTTCATAATAATCCACCTAAACCTCCAGGGATAAAGGTATTGCCCTTTAAAAAAGTATTAGTACATGTTTGGAGAACATAGTTATTACATTCATGGTGGAGAGTTGGTACATTTACATATCATACCTTCTTATTTCCCTTTCCCTTCCCCATCCTCCTTCCTCCTTCTATCTATAGATCCCTTTTTCATTGGCAAAAGATCTATCTCCCTGGTTCCTATTATTCATCCTTTATTTTACTTTATACATTATTTATACTTTGGGTTTCTCATGTCAGAGAACCATACAATATTTAACTTTCATTAGCTGATTTATTTCACTTAACATTATTGTCTCAAGGTGCATCCCTTTTCCTACAAATGACTCAAATTTTTTCTTTTCATGGCTGAATAGTGCTCCACTATGTATACATACCACATTTTCTTTATCCAATCATCAGTTGATGAAGATACAAGCAGCTTGTAAAATTTAGCTACTAGGAGTTGTGCTGCCATACACGGGTATGCATGTACCTTTCTGATATGTCTTTAAGTCTTTTGGGAAGATACCTAGAAGGTAGACAGCAGGGTGTGTGGAATTTCTAATTTTAGGTTTTTGAGGAATCTCCATATTGCCTTCCATAGTGGATGTACTAGTTTGCAGTCACACCAACAATGTAGAAGGGCTCCTTCTCCCCCAGCCTGTCATTATTTGAAAGGTAATTCCCCTTTCAAAGACCTGAGGATGCTTGTGGTGTACCAGGTCTAGCACATTCCTGCTCCGAAATGTGGACTGTGCCTTCCTAGGCAGCCCAGTATTCTCAAAGACTCATGGGTCAGATGGTCTCTAGCATCAGCCTACACCCTCCAGCCCTCCCACCCCTTCCTAGCACCATTAATTTTTTCCTAGATCATCAGTTTGCTTCCTCCCTGCCACAGGAATATGACAGCAATTTCCTCCCTACCTCACACCCTTCCACCTTGTTAAAAACAAACACACACAAAATAGATGCTAGGACTCTGTCCAACTCCTCTGAGGCTCATCCAGGATGGCAACTCAAGGTCCAGAAGAGTCCTCAGCATCAAGCACAATATCAAAAATATGTATTACCCTGGGGGCCACATGCCATAGCACCATTTCTTGGCCTGGACAGTGGAGGAATTTATTATTATGCTTTCAACGGCACCTACACATTTCCATGAGTTCTTGGGTACGCGCATTCACAGAGGAAGAGCTGGCAGCACTGCCTGATGGAGCATCTGATCTGCTAAAATGTATGTTGCATTCTTGGAAACAGCAAGTGCGTTGCCCCCTGTGAGCCTGATCTGCAGAACAAGAAAGCTGCAAACGTGCTAGAGATGAGTTTTACTAACTGCACCTCTCTACTGACCACAGTGAGATCATCAATTGGTTTTCAAGGCCCTGTTTCAAACATTTTGTTATTCTTATTCTTGAATGCACTGTAGGACTTGGAATAAGAATAATGATTCTTGCTATTTGCTAAATTAATTACAGGGAGTAAGGGTGAGTCAGCACAATAATTAGATGGCTTTGGACTCATCAAATGTATTCTCAGATTACTGAAACAAGAACCTTAACATGGAGTAGGAAGAACACCTCCAACTGGTTACAGCTTTGATGGCAATGGGTGGTCTCAAAATTTCTTCTTTGTTGTTTATTGCTTGAACAGGGAAAATATACATATACAGAGATTTTATATCTGAGAGAGAGAGAAAGGTGGACCTCTTGTAAAAAAAAAAAAAAAAAACCCAAAACAAAACAAAGAAGAGTTCTTTGGTCAAACATCTTGCTGAATGTACCAAAAACACAATTAAGTTTTTATTTTGAAATCATGGCTACAGCGGTGACCCAGCCCGACCTCCACGCTGTGTGTGCGTCCTCTGGCAGCTGCAGAGGAGCTCTGTCGGGGCCCACTGAGCACCAGCATCCTGCCTCCGGGCCCTGACTTTTCAGCGACTGCCACGAGTTAACGTATTTCGGTCCATAACCTGAAATCAGACCAGAGGTCTCGTGTTGCTCCAGGCTACATATCTGTTTATATTCATATTTCTGGTACAACCGCTTGCAAAAGTTCAACTTTAAAATTTGTTTAATATTTAAGAGAAAGTATGAGGCCAATTTAAAGCAGCTCTATGGAAACTGCTAAATGAGGGTCCATTTTCGGCCCCAAAGGGAACTGCAAATGAGAGCTGACCCCTCTCTTCACTGGAAGATGTGGAGTTTCAGTCCTGGAGACTCAGGGGACGGTCAGCCTACTCCTAAGCTTGTGGGGTTTTTTGGGTTTTTTTGTTTTGTTTTGTTTGGCACAGGGGATCAAACTCGGGACCTTGCGCTTTCGAGGCAGGCGCCTGAACCACTGAGCTAAATCCCTGGCCCTAAGCTTGTGTTTTTATAAAGGTGAAAACAAACTCATTCTAATTTTTTAAAATGCTGCTTTCATTTCTTAGCTTCCCTCAAAAGAAAACACCATTTTGTACTTCGATGAGAACAAGCAGAAATAAGGATGTTAAACTAAAACATCTAGATTAATTCAATACTTAAATGCTAAGCCTCTCGATATAGAAAAACAACCCGAAAGAAGGGGCAGACGCCCCCTTGCCACGGAAATGATCCTGGAGTGAGGTCCCTGTGGCTCTCCTTCCCCTGCTCGGGATGAGACCTGGGGGCGGGCGGCTCAGCCTCACCACCGCCCTGTCCTTTCCTTTGCTCCCCCAGCGCTAGGTCCTTTAAGTGCCTTCCGGAAGGCTCTCTGGGTACAGCCCCGGCCAGAGCCTGTCTGCTGGATCCCTGGTATCTATCCCCAAGTTCACTTGGTCCTTTCTCCTCAGATCTTCCAAAAAGCACCGAGGATGGTAATTCACTTGTGCAATTGGCTGAAGAGATGAAGTCTCTTGCATCAGCCTCTGTTAGTCACTAGTCCACTGCAGCTTTAAGTGCAGGTTGTTTAGTCCTTTGGTTCCCCAGGTATGGCATCGATGCTGGATCAACAGCGATGGGAGGGCAGGCTGCAAGGCTTCGGGGCCACCACCCTCCGCCCCTCCCTGTGTTCAGGTCCTTGTTAGTTCACCACTGCTCTTCTCTCATCTTCGTCTAACGTCTTAGCAGCCAGTGGGGGGCAGGGATACTACTCTTATTAGCAGTAGTTATTAAAACAGTGAGTTACACACTGCCCTCTCTTCTCAGTAACTAATTTAGGGACACAGACTTAGATTTTTATTTTTTTTTTTTGGTACCAGGGATCGAATTCAGGTCCTTGCACTTACGCAGCAGGCGGCGGGAACCACTGAGCCAAATCCCCGGCCCCAGACTTAGATTATTTTTAAGAACTCAAGGAACAGCATTAATTAAGCACAGTCTGAGAAGTGAAAAAGCCTTAGTGTTCCTACTGATGGCCAAATGATTTAATTTTTATTATAGAAAAGCCTCACTAATTCAGACCATTCTGCACCTGATTTATAATATGCAGGTGTTTTTCATATGACTCCTTAAATAAAATCAGTTCAAATGGTTTGTTTGAAAATAGAATGGACTTTTAAAAATAGTGGAAATTGAATGGAAAACCAATTTCTGTTTTTCTTAAGTAATGAAAATGAACGAAAGAGGGAGTATTCTTGGTAACAGATGTTTTTGTGTTACTGAAATACATTTCTTATGGTGATAATGTATCGAAAATATTCATTTTCAAAAAATCTAAAACAAACCTCTTACAATAAAGGCACACAGGGACATTTATTTGCTATAACATAACCCTAGTCAGCTCTGTTCTGCCTGATATGCCAGGCACGTGGAATGCC